CATGCATCCGCCTCCTCCACACTCTCCAATCACATCTTCCACATACAAACGGAAACCGAACAATGATGCGGTTTCCCTCTTATTATGTTTTATTATGATTTGTGATGTGACTGTATGATTTCAGCCCTCACCCTAACCACAATTACGGGTCATGACCCTTGTCCCTTCACCTGGGCTTGCCTCCAGCCTTTAATTTCACAGGGAACACGTATCCGCCTCCTCCACACTTTCCAACCACGTCTTCGGGATAACAAAGGAAACCAAACAATGAGGCAATTTCCCTGTTACTGCTTACATTCTCATATATGTATATATATATATATATATATATGTATATATATTTATTTGCCCCTAGTAGTTTACTCTATATTAAGAGTCTGAATGTGTTGGGACAGTTTATGTTGTTTTCAAAAGAAACAATGACGTAGAAGTTGTGACTCTCAGATTTAAATTGAGATAAGAAGTGGAAGAACTGTTGTTCTTGTAAACAAAACTTACAGCACAATAAAAACTGTCCCGACACTTACAGACTGTACTCTACAGTATACACATGCTGGTAGTAGTGGGAAGTAACTAAGTAATTTACTCAAATACTGCACTTAAGTGTAGTTTTATGCTACTTCAAACTACTATGTACTACTACTATCAAACATAGAAGCTAAGCAATGTACTGCTGTGGATGGGGGTCAGTGACAAGATGTATTTTAGTCAGCAAAAAATTCCAACCTAAAATCACTATCAGTTTAAGTGTACGCTATATTGAGAGTATTTTCACCGCTTTACCTTGCCATCAGACAGCCCGCTCCAACAGCCTCAGTTCCCCATCTATGCTGTCATCAAAGGTACCAGACTCCATTGGCAAAACTATGATTTCAGCTTGCTGAGCGCAGAAGCTTCTGGGCTACCACTGCTTTGACCAGTTAGTTAATTTATGCTAATCTGTGACTTTGGTGAAACTGAACTAACCTTTTTAAATACCCAAGTCTGACAACAACACAAACAAAATAACTGATCGAGGCAGCGGTAGACCAGCAGCTCGTCTGTTCAGCAATGTTAAATCACTGTTTTTCTCAGTGGAGTCTGGCTTTGAAGAGAGTGACTGGAAAGTTGGAAATGACTGTCTTACATTTGGGTTAAGTGATGAAAATATTCTAAATCTAGTGTACAGTTAAACTGATATTCATTTTTTCAGGTGGGACTTTTTTCATGTAGGACTCCACCCTGCTTCTCGACATGAGAGCGTACTTACTGACATCTACTGCTTGTACAGTAATATACTGTCTATAGATAAGCAACCCTTACAACCCAACCAAAACTGAGCTATCCCTTTAAGATCTCACATGAAAACATGTGATAAGTTTGTAAAATATGATATTTTGCAATAGTATATAAAGTTGTAAAAAAAAAAAAAGTTTCACCTAAACCAACTGAAACAATAAAGTACTGTTTACATGTAAATGTATAAAAAAAATATGATCCAATATTATGATAATATAACCTATTCTGCATAACAACTACTTTAAGTTTGATACTTAAACTACATTTTGCTTGTAACACTTGAGTAAAAATCACCACACTATACAAATGATTTGAATACTTGTTCCACTGCTGCATGCTGGATGCATTTAAGGAAAAAATCCACCCTTTACTTTACATTGTGATTGTATATTTTTCTTATTTTCATAAAGATGTGGTTGCCAATCAAATAATTACAGTCAGAGGGTGGATTTTCACATAACAGTTATTTGAAACATTTACAATTAAAAATGCAACTGTGCAGGTTTAATGCAGTAACATGAATCACTCATGGTGTTTGCAGCCAACATAAATGACTAAGTGTTTCAATACATACCGTGTTATCAGTCAGACCTCTGAGGATCACCGGTCTGCTGTATGCATATCTGAGGAAACATCATAAACCCGTAGGTTAGAGTCAGAATACATGCGAGATGTCTTATGCAAATATATAAAAAAAAGTATCTTTAGATTGGTGATAGAACATAAGTTATCTGAATGTGTAAATGTGGTATTTGAAGGCTATCTTTCACTGTTTCAGGGCATTTTTGAAACCAAACATTTAATCAGCATATGTTTAGGGCGCTTCTGTGGCATTTCAAGGTGGGTGTTAGTGTATTTAGGCTGGTTGCCATGGTGACACTAGATAGTTTACACCCTACAATCCATAGCCTAATTACAAGACTATCTGAATAAACAAATCAAATATCTCAGAAAAATTGTAACTTGAGTGTACGGCAGCCTTTTAGACCTTGAATACACAAGTGTATTTTATGTCGTGACAGTATTCTTTGATATTTAATTAATTTATTTAGGAGACATGAGCTTATTTATTGTACATACCTTTCAATGAACTGTTGATGTGAGAGTGAAGAGCCGTCCAGCACATCGATGTTACAAGGACCTTCATCCTGTAATCTGGAATCTGAGTTAAATAACCTGAACACAGAGGCAGACATGAACATTAGAACAAAACATAAATCTCCCCGTGCAGAAAAATGCAGGTTGTGTTATGTTACATTTAACTGCTGTAGTTGTTTAAGTTTGTGCTCATTTTAACTCATTTATGTACTGCTGGGTATTTTAATCTACAGCAATGCATCATATTCTATAAGATCATCATGTGTTTGTACCGTAGCTGTCCTGTGAAAACCATGTGTTTCTAAAAAGGCAACTTTTCACGGTGTCAGAAAAACAGCCCTGTTTTCAGCTTTGTGACAAAGCATTTTCCAGCTGATCCAAGAAGTTGTTTAAAGAGTTTATTTAGCTCAAGAAGTGGGAGAATTTTCTCAGCATATGAAGAAACACTTCATCATTCAGTTCATCACAGTCTCAATCAACACATCTGGAGATACATGGTTTTCAGGAAGGGGAGGGAAGGGGATGAAAACCTGTAATCTAAAAAGTAACTGTCAGACAAATGTAGTTGAGTAAAAAGTACAATATTTACCTCTGGGATGAAGTGGAATAAGACGATAAAGTAGCATAAAATGAAAACACTTAAGCAAAAAAATTACAAGTACTTTGACTGTATACTTACACTGGAAATATTTACTTTTTCTGTATTAACCACCTACTCTTACACTACCTGTACTTCATATCTGAAACTGTACTTACATATCTGCAACACACCTAGACTGATTCCTACTCCTGATCTGGGCATAAATTAGCCCCAGCCAATGGGCTTTAATGTGGACTTGCACCTTATTTGCACCTTATCTTGGATTTTTATATTTTCACTCTCCCCACATTGTATTTCAACTGCTGCACAGCAATTTCCCTCTGGATAAATAAAGCTTATCTTATCCTTTGGTAAAGTAGCCTACAAATGAGTAAACATACTGAGTTACCTTCCACAATTGCATCTCTGTAAGCTCTCACCATCTTACTTTCAAACTGTGCATGGTGTTGACACTTATTTTCCCTTTTTAGCTCTTGTGACTTCTTGTTTCTCCTGGCGACCCCAAACCCCTTATGATGTGTTCAAATTTGCTCGTTTTCAAGGTAGACGCTAAAATGACAAAATTTCAAGTGGGTTTGGTGTGAAACTCGGTCAGAGTAGCAGGTATCGAGGCGAAGCTTGGAGAAATTTTGCAAGTGGTAAAATTCATGTCATTATGTAATAATAATAATCATAATCACAATAATAACTTCACACATGTGCCAGTTTAGTGTTGACCCGGTGTTATTGACTCACCAGCCGCCTCCGTCATCTGACGGCTCCGCTGCCTTCAGTCCGATGAAACATAACAGCACAAACTGTGTACATGTAGTTAACACAGCTATTTTATATTCCATTCAAAACTGTAGCCCGAAGACGTAATTTTAACAAACTTTAGGAGAAAATACGGTGAATATCTCGCATTATCCCTGAGAATAAACTGTACTCGTCCTTCCTTCACTTCCTGCCCGACAGCCAATCAGAAACCAACACATTAATCTGACCGTGTGCATAGTTCAAGTTTCCTGGGAACTATGAAGTGTTCTTTATAACTTATCCGACAGCTTGACGTAGTTTGCATTTTAAGGTTTTTACATTAAAAAGGGATGTGAAGATGTACAGCTGAAACGATTAATCAGTTAATCGCTGGACAGAGAACTATTTGGAAACTATTTGGATTATTTAAGTCATTTTTTACGTAAAAACATTGTACTATTGTTTGCACTTTTATTCAAAGAAAGTATCTGAATACATCCTCCACCATTGGCAGTAGGCCTACTTAAAATACAAACAACATGACTGTCCTTTATATTGGATTACACAATATTACATTGCAGTATATTCTGTTTTATATGGTATTGTGTACTAGAATATGTTATAGTTTACATTTATATCTGATGCAATGTGGGTGTATACAACACATATACATTACATATTACATGTATCAAATATATTGTATTTGATATTATACCAATAAAACTATGACTGTATAGTTGTTTTACTGACTACATGCAAGTAGTGGAAGAAGTATTGGGATTTTTGACTTTTGAAACATAGCCCATATATTTAGGTCCTGCATTCAAAATCTTACTCATAGGCCTACTGTATGCATGCATATTAACAGCAAAATGCAGTATAAAAGTATGACTTATAAAATAGTAAAAGTATTATGCACAATGGCTCTAATCAGAGTGTTACAATTATGATGTATATATGTTATTGAAGCAGTTTTACTGAACCAATAACATGTAGATGTAATATGTTATATACATATAATGTTTATTGTATAATGTATAATGTTATTAATATGACTGATTATAATCATTTTTATAACTAACCCCATCAGTGCAGCATAAAGTAACTTATATTATTTTTGTGTGCAGTACTTCAATAAATGATTAGTTGGGTAACATTTTCAATTGGACTTTTACTTGTGACAGAGTGTGTGGTATAAGTACTTTTACTTAAGGACCCTACTACTTCCTCTCTCATTCACTTTCCTTTACAGTCACTTCACAGAAGGAGATAATCAAAACTAAAAACATTAGGGAAAAATTTTTTTATTTCACATAATACAGTCAAACAGATATACACGTGGTATTTGGTGTTACATTTTAGTTGTATTGTACACACTGACAGCTGGTTTTAATGTTTGACTGAATGTAAAAGATAAATATTATTTGCACTTCATGTATATTTAAGGAGTAAATCACAGTTGTACGTTTTCAGTGCAAAAAGCAAAACAAAAAAAAAATCAAGGCATTAATAGTTACAGTAGGCCCCTAATGAGTTAAAAAAAGAGGCAGTTAAGTCCATATTAACACAGATATACATGCTCCCACCATCAATACACATTAAAGAACTTCATTAATTTAAATATTTGTGCTCATACACAACTTTCAGTTTTGTAGGTAAAAAAAAAAGCCTTATGACCTGATTAATTAAATCTGATTAAATGTGCACTGTAAAACTTAAAATTTGAAACTGAAAAGAAAAGGCAATCAAACTTGCAAGTCAATATTTCTATTTCTTTATTGTTATTAAATGGTGAGTTAATATGATTTATAACAAAAAGGATAAATTCCTCTCAAAAAAGGTTTTAAATTATCATTATTTTTTAATTAGGTCACATTTTCTAAGGGTCATACGCTACCTCACAATCAGTCAGTTTATTGCTTAACATTAATTTAACATCTTTATGTTTAATTTTCAACTTATTGATCACAAAATGGAAAATGTTAATGTTAGAGGAAATTGGGTAAATTTAGGAGCCTTTTCAAATAAATGTTTTCCAATTTAATTTTAAAGCTTAATGTTAAATTCATAATTTCAAAACACAATAAGGAAATAGAGTCACTAACTGGGAAATTTTATCATCTTTTAGTTCTCTTTTTTTATATAATGCACTAAAGTCAGTATTATTTTTTTTGTTAGCAGAGCCTTTTTAAATGGCTCTGTTTATTAATTAATTATAATCAAACACATTATGATTATTAAAATGATTAATTAAACTAACAAGTTGAATGTTTTTTGTTGTTTTATGATAAAGTTTATATCAGTGGATTTTGAATAAACAAGTATGTTGAATATATCTCTTTGGGCCATGGGAAACTATATTTTTTGGGGTATTTTCATTACTTTCTAATATTCTATAGACAAAAAAAATATTGATTAGTTTAGACAATAATCTGTAGGTTAAGCAGTTATGAATATAATCCTTAGCTGCAGCCTCAACCAAAAATATATCATCTTCCAGTTAAAAAAAAGTCATAACATCATACATGTGTATATATAAATGTCTATGTTCTTGTGAAAAACCTTAAACAAGTTGTAGCTGAAGAGCAGAAGACAGAAAAAAGATGCTACAAGTAGGAAAGTTTATTTAAAAAAGGGCTTTTTAAGCACTCATTTCTCTATTTTCTGTCATCTTTAAAACAAAACAATTAATTAATGAAAATAATCAGCAGACTTTTCAAGTTTGTAAATCAAAAGTAATTTTCTTGATTGAAAAGTTTCTGATGTCTTTCTGTTAAATTTCTTCAGCACAAGATGTTTCACTCCATGTGCAGATTTTTTTCCTTGTTTTAGATATAAATGAGTTTACAAAAGCGAAGTGAGACCACAAGGCAGCATTGACTTCATTGACATTGACTTCATATTGGTGCATTTATCATCATTAGGCATCTTATGAAAGCACAAAAAAAGAAACAAGAACAGGTGGCAAGGACAGGAGCAGAGGAAGCGAGAGGGAAACCAGTCGAGCAGTTCCTGATGTTGAACCACTGCTCTGGACAGCAACAAAGCCCGGCTGGGTGCTGCCATCCTCGCTGCTAATCTGACTGCTGATCCAGCTCTGATACTCGGACACTCGGGCGTAGACTCCTGGGAAGTCAGGCAGAGCACAGCCTCTTCCAAAACTCACCACTCCAGCAAGGACCCACTTAGAGCCGTCTTTGGTCACAAACGGGCCGCCAGAGTCACCCTGCAGAGGTCAGACATGTCAGTTACATCACCAGCACACCAATACAATTCTACAGCCTGTTATGGAAATCATTTGACCTAATGTTAACTTTTTAATTTTAGTGATTGTATCTGAATGAATCAAAAAAGGTGTGTTTATTTGTGAAGATTATCTTACTGAACAATACTTACTGATTATCTTACTGAACAAAACGTGTAAGTATTATAAACTTTTGCATGTCACTTTCTGCAAAAAATCGAAAATCCCATTGGCTTTTTCTTGAATGAACCACAGCGATTAAACCTCTGTCTTGTTCTATAACTTGGCTAAATATCGTCCCTGTAGCACTCAGTTTCTCATACACTGATTTATTTGTGATTGCCGCTTTCTCTCTGTTTATCAGATACATAGCAGGGTATCTCTGCTAGCACTCCCAGCAGTCCCTCCGCCCCACTCCTCACCACTAGGAGACCTTAGTGGGAGGAGAGCAAGCAGCTCTGGAGATGGCCCTTTAGTTAACAGCTGTACTAGTAACACATATTTAGCCAGCGCAAAAATAACGGACTTAGCCCCCTTGACATCAACCATTTGTTCATGGACTTGTTTTGGAGCCTCCAGTTTGGCATTTTTGCTGTTGCCATCTTGGATGTTTGGAGCAGGAAGTGACCATATATGGACGAAGGGGTGGAGCTGTGGAGGAGTGACGGGTGGAACTGAATTATAATGGCTCTTGCGCAATGTTTGCCATTCCCTGTAAAAGTAGAAAATTTGTTTTATGTGTAGATATCACACTTGATCTGTTTGACAAGCTGGTTACACCAGTTATGTTGTGCACGTGTGAAGTGTGGGGGTTTGAAAGAATAGATATATTGGAAAAACTACATCTTAAATTTCTAAACTGTACCCTAAACGCTGAAATGACAACCTGCAATAATATGGTCTCTGGGGAGTTAGGAAGAACATAGACATTTATATATACACGTATGATGTTATGACTTATTTTTTACAGGAAGATGATATATTTTTGGTTGAGGCTGCAGATAAGGATCATATTCATAACTGCTTAACCTGGAGGTTATTGTCTAAACTAATCTTTTTTTTTTATCTATAGAATGTTAGAGGAAGATATCAACTCTGTATTGCAGTTAAAGAGAGAATTATTGGCTACTAGGGGAGGCTGATAGAGGGTAAAGAAACTAAACTCAAATAATGAACAACTATTTGCTCAGCCTGCATAATATGGGTGTATATGTGTCTCCATTTGTCTTGCAGATACTGGATGAATGTGGCTTGCCTTACCTCTGGCTCACACAAAGGTGTAACAACATCAACTGGTTAAATCTTACAGTTGAACAGAGGCTATACAAAAGTGGCAAAGCGAGCTCAGAACTATGACATCATGTGACAAATATATGTCGAAATTAAACAAGAGTTTAAACCGGAGAAGTATCTGTTGCATGAAAACCGAAGGTACAGACAGGCTATTTGTAATTTTAGAGTAAATAACACCAAAATTTCTAAAGTCACTGGAAGATATAAAGGGACTTACAGAGAAAGGTATTACTTAAACCGTCCATCTATGTTTAAATTTATTTCGTTATTACAATCAGATAAGCCAAAAGTAATTTGCAAAATAGGTGCTTTTTTGAAGAATGTCCTTCCTTTGTTTCAGTAACATTGGTTGTACTTTTGTCATGCCGTGTGCCACTGTTTTGTTATTGTATGTAATGTTTGTACTCCATACCATATGATATGGTCATGAGTCAAATATATAAAATGAAATTAATAAAATGACTCATAGACTATGGTGACGCCTCACAGACAACCTGCAGCCACGCCATTTATTATGCATAACTTTAAGCTTTAATAAAAATCAGTGAGTTGTATAAAAATTCACACCACGTACCGTTGCCATGAATGTTGAAACTATAGAGACCAAAACTGCTTTTTGTACCAGGCTATAAACATGTTTATTTCTGCTGTAAAGTTGGACATTTTAACATGTGGGTCTACGTGGACTGACTAGCTTTCGAAGTCAGCCTCAAGTGGCCATTCAAAGAACTGTAGTTTTTGGCACTTCTACATTGGCTTCATTTTTCAGCCTTGGACGTTGCCACTTGGCACAAACCTTAGCACCAGGGGGTCACAGCACGCTGATGCCCAGCAGCAGCCCGCACATGGGAGAGGTTTGCCCATATGACTTTCTGCCAGAAATTCCTGGGAAAAAATTTCCCAAAAGCTGGCAGCTCCGGGTCTAACCTGTGTATTGGCAGCAACAGAAAGTCTGTTGATCCTGCGGGGAGTCAGGCAGTCTGGCTTCAGACACCCAGCACTGGGGTTTGCACTGGCTGAACTCAAGTTGCCACAGCCAAGCTGAAGATCTGTGTATATGACAGTGGTGTATCACCCCAAAATTGTAGGGGTGCCAGATCTCAAAAATACATTTTTTTGCATAATGTTGCTCATCTGTTCATCTATAATAATACCTCATCATTTATTAGTTGATTTATATGAAATTGCAGGAAATGTACAAATGTAGTGCAATAAAAACTTGCATCCCGCTACGAGTTGCAGATACAAATTCAGCGAGAGGAATAACATGGGTACAGGACAGGGAAAAAAACTCTTTGCAACCAGCTACAGTCACAGCTCTATAGATCAGTGCAGCTTAAAATGTGTGTGTTAATCAGGTGACAGAGAAGGGTATGCAGACAGACTCACCTGGCAGGAGTCTTTTCCTCCCTCCTCCAAACCAGCACACATCATGTTGCTTGTGAGGTCACTGTAGGAGGAGCTACACTGAGTGTTGGACACCACAGGTACACTCACCTCCTGTAGCGTCTGTGGGAATGGCAGAGAAGCTGAACAAGAAGAAAATAGATGTTAATGTTAAGTCTTCTTCCTCTATGCCATAAAGCCCCACTGAAAAAACTATTCAGAACACATCAGTGAGCCTCACACACACCATCCTGCTGCCCCAAATACTCATCTGAGCAACAAATGTAGATTAATCTGCTGCTGAAAATAGTCCACAGCAAATGCACTGTTTCCTCCTGTTTGTTTGATAAAAACTACAGTGACCAGCTGCTGTAGTGAATTAAACATGAAACTACACATTTGTGAGAACGATTTATGTCTTCAGAAGGAATCACTGTCTTGGAGCTGAGAGCCACAGACAGGAAGTCAGAGAAGTATTAAGACACGGACTAACACGTTGGTTTGGGTCTGCACATAAGATTTGTTGACTGAATAAAAAATAGGCAACATACAATAATCAAATCATTGGACCTGTCTTTTAAACTGTATTATAAAATGGCCCTTAAAATGTTGTGTTAGCCTTTTCAACATTAGTCTGGGAGGGCCTAGAATCAGTGTATAGGTGCCTTTAGGTCCATTCAAACGGTTATTTCTCTCTGGGCAATATATAAGTATAGAATAAGTTTTTCCTGCAGAAACAGGACTGTGAGTAGTCGATCCAGTGTCTAAACCAATCAGTTATATCAATATTTTCATCTGATCAGACAGACAGAAAGGTAGGTGGTGGAGGATGACCAGGCCCTCAGGAAAGCTGCTCACCCTTGCTTCCATTTTTCCCCAGTGGCCACTCACGGTACTGCAGCAGAAATATCCCCAGCAGCCCTAAAAGCATTTCTCCATTTCCCCATAGCCCACCATTATAAAAAAGACGCCTGTAAAACTGCTGATAAGACAGCTCAAACTGCAAGCAAGGTCAATTATGAGTCTTTCTATTATGATTTCTTGATCCATGGTGGTTTCATATTTGTAAAACTTTCCTCATGGTGAGAAAAATCTGTAGCACTCCCTGTAATCTATGAGCTGAGCAGGAACTTGTAGGCAACGCCAGCAGGAGAAACACTATTGCGCAAATTCAGTGAGCTGCACAACCCAGAGGAAACTTCTGTTAGCATATGTGCCTGGCTGTTGAACTAAACAGGCGTCATCTTGGCGTCAGGTATCTATAGGATGACTCCGCACCTCAGACTGCTCCTTTAAGCCCAGTGGGTGGTTTGATATTCTGACAGGACATTTTCACTTTAGGCAATAAGTGATGTCATGGCAGTTTGTGGAGCTGATGGACACACCTGTTGTGACATCACTGATTGAGTATGTGGCCTGACGCACAACAGGTTTGAAAAGGCTATTTCAGGTAGCACTGGTTCCTGCAGTAAAAGTCTCATTCATGTCAATCAATGACAGAGTTAGCTGAGTCACAGTTGGGACAGGAATGAAACTCTCCTGGTTGAATCATCAGCTCAAAAGAAAAACAGCTAATAGGCCTACTTGTTTACAAGAAGCCAGTGGACATGAGCACTATAATTTCCTTTTGTGCATTTTCTGATCAAAAAACTACTCAGAAAACTGAAAACACAACCTACATCAAGCAGTGGAAGAAGTACTCAGATCTTCTACTTTAGTGAAAGTAATAATACCACAGTGTAAAAATACTTAGTTACAAGTAATGTCCTGCATTCAAAATAATAAGCATTGAATAAATACCATATTTCTATAAAGGTTGTACTTAACCTGAGTATTTCCATTTTCTGCTTTTATTGCATCAATAATTACAATCCAATAATATAATAAACATTATTTTGATATGGGCCATTTTACACAATGAGTACTTTGGTACTTTAAGATTTTGAAATCATTGTACTTGTAACAGTAATTCTGCAAGATCTGACAAACTTGTTCCATCAGATGGATTTCCATTTTCAAGGTCTTACTTGTCATATAGTCTAGGGGAGATCGGGGTTAGTTGACACACAGCTATTTTTTGGTCCTTTAAAGATAAAAAAAAAATGTTTGCCCTATTCACCTGCACTTATCTATGCTAAAACATCTGAAATCAAATGTTTTGATGAGGATAACATTTCAGTTTGGTACTATCAGAAGTAAAAAAAAAGTGGTCTATGGATAAAAATATTATCAAGCTGCTTTGGACAGAGATATTTGAAATGTGTTACTTCTGGTTAATAGTCAAAGGTATCAGCTGCATTTTGATAAAAGATTTTAAAGTCTGTGATAAGTAATTCTAGCTAACTAACATAAACATTATCACAAATTTGTGTCAATTGTGAGTGTGGTTAGCTGGCATGCTGACTTTGGGATTGGCTGCACATGTACCAACCAGTGGTAAAAGAGTTGTGACAGTGACTGTATTTTTAAAAAGATTAAAACTATTTTGAAAGTTTAAAACAATGTGTACAATGTAAGTTAAATACTATTTTGACTGGTCAATAGTAAAAGTAATCAGACATTCTGAGTTTAAAATATGCAGATATAGATACACAGATGCACAACATGACTTTAATTACAAACTACCTTATTTTGAAAACATTTGTGTACAATAAAACAGGTGTTTATAGCTGAGACCTTAATCTTTCATTTGCTGCTCGGTTAAAATGTTACATAACATAACGTAACATAAATTATGCTGCAGAAGTAGCTATAGCAATAAGTAAAAAGTGTGCAAACACACCCCAGCTTCCCTCGTATGCAAAACACAGCAATAAAAACTAAATTCATCCATCATACAATCATTAACTATTAATAATAGGCTATGTTTAAAAAACAACTTACTGCCGTCACTTCGGATGGTTCCCCATCCGGTGACCCAACATGTCGTCCCGGCTGGGAACGTGCTGCCAGCTGCCGCCAGACACACTGGTCTGATGTAGTCGGTGAATTCAACAGGCGAGGACAGTTTCAACAAGGCGACGTCGTTGTTGTTTGGGGTGTTGTCATAGTCTGGATGTCTGATGATCTGAGACAGTGACCGAGACACCTCGTTAGGATTGATGGATTGTTGGCTGTCACGTCCGAGATAAACGGTGAAACCAAAGGTGCTGGAGCTGAGACACAAAAGAGACAACATGTTTAACTACAGAGACAGACCAAGTGATGGAGGCCTGTAGATCCAACACCAGAGTACTAATGCAACACTATAAAATACTATAAGTAAAAGTCCTGCCATGGAAATTTGACTCTAGCAAAAGGATGCACTACATAATCAGGAAAATGAACTTCATGTATTGAAAGTAGAAAAATTAATTCTTAATTAACTATGAACTGCTCCCGTGTTTCCAGCAAGTTTAGCATTTTATTTGATCCCTGTTCTTAGTTGTGCAGCTTTATTTTTTATTGTGTTGTGTCTGTTCAGCAGTAGTTTGAGTGTCTTCGATAGTCTTGTTTTTATTTTTTATGCTGCCCTGCTGCAAAGATAATTTCCTCTTGTGGAATGATAAAGATCTGAACTGTGTAGATATGAGTATTTCTAATTACATGAGACAAATATGTTTTGTGGTTTTAATGGTCTTTTTCCACACCCTCATTATATTCTCTATTTGTTGCTGTACAAACTCACTCTGTTTGTACAGGTGAAGTGCTGAGTCATGTGCAGTGGGGGAGGAAGTATTCAGATCCTCTCCTTAACTACATGTACTAACTGCACTGTGAAAATACTCCACTACAAGTAATAGTCCTGCATTTAAAATCTTACTTAAGTAAAAGTAGCCTATTATCGCAAAATTTAGTTAAAGCGCCTAAAGTAAAAGCATTTATTGTGCAGTAAAATATTCGCTGTTGTAAATGGCTTTCACTGGACAGGAGGGGGATTAAAACTGTAATCTAAAAAGTAACTAAAACTGTCATACAAATGTAGTGGAGTAAAAAGTACAAAATATCCCTTTGAGATGTGGTGGAGTGCAAGTATTATGTTGCAGAAAATGGAAATGCTTGAGTAAAATACCTTAAATTTGTGGTAAAGTTAATGACTCAGTGACATTTCACCACTGGTTATCAGTCAGTTTCAGAGCTCACCTGGAGAAACAGTGAGCAGCACTCAGGACCCACTCGTTGTTTATCAGGGAACCTCCACAGAAATGTCCGGAGAAGCTGTGGAGACTGACCTGCCAGGGCCACGCCCCTGGAGTAGCATCCTCACCTCCTACAATCTTGTTGTTAAGCGGTGCAGTGCCACAAACTAGGGAAGGAAACAACCAGAATTCATGTAATTGTAGTGTGCAGAAAGGAAGACCATCAAACTTATTCAGTCTTATGTTGATTTTCCAGACCAGAAAATAAGAGAATAATTAGTTTGAATACACCCAAACCATCAGTTGATCCATTTCAACATATGCGATAAGACATATTGGACTCCTGGGTCCATAGACCCAACTGGTCTCTAAATTAATGATGATTCTAAACTGAGTTTGGTAAAAATAAAACAGAGGACAATTTGGTTTGCTGGCTCAACCACAACAAAGAAAATGATTGCACATCGCTGGCTGCCTTCACACTCACTCAGCATTTATCAAAAAAAAATCAACAAAGCAAAGTCCTCAATTCTTAGCCTTTGGAAAGATACAGGATGACAGATAAAGACTGTAGGGGTTTCAGGGGTGTGTGTAAAGGTATTACTGTATGTGGGTGGGTGTTTTGGATGGGTATGTATGTTGAGGGTGGGAGAAGGAATGTTCAAGCCATATGTCACCTTCTCTGTACCCATAGCACCTGTACTGAATAAATGGTGTTAATAAAAAACGATCACGAAGTAAAAAAGGTTTGATTTTGAATACTTTGTCCGCCACTGCCTGGCTCTGTTCAAAGTTCAAAAATACAACTACCATATTGTGTGTTTTAATCAGTAAGTGGACAGGAATGTAAAAATAGCAGAATTGTGGCTAAAAGCTCCTGAGCACTGTTTAGACCCTTTAAACCTGGACTGGATTCATGTCGAGAACTCAGAGGCTGTTTTGAAACTTCAGCCTTTACTTTACTGTGTGTGTGTGTGTGTGTGTGTGTGTGTGTGTGTGTGTGTGTGTGTTGTGCGTAAACAGTGTGTTGTCTCTGCAAAAGAGATTTTACATGGATAAAGAATACCTGACAGTGTAACTTACCATCTGACTGTGCGTTGCTTCCTGTGGGAGACAGAGAATAACACATTAAGTTTGAAGAAACAAAACCAACTGGTTTTTCCTCTCTCTAGAAGTACCTGTTGCATCCATCATGATGTCATGTTGCTGGGTGAGGTGGGTGTTTGTGGTATTAAGCCAAATGAATGATGTCCAAGAAAACAAATTAGTTGTCAGACAGGAAAGAGGATTAGAGGATTCTACAGTAAGGAATGTGTGATGTGGTAAATGAAAACATTTTATTGCCTGAACCTAGTTTCTATAATACACTGAAGCACAGTGTAAAGGAGTATCGATTACATTTCTGCATTATGGGCTGCCACATTTTTATGATGCTGCAGACGGCAGCAAAAATCACTGCTGTACTGTGGGTTGTTGAGGTACTTGTACTTTAGTTAAGTCCTCCCATATTATGCTACTTCATAAATCTACTTTTTCTAATTAAGCTATTACATTAAAAACATGATAAAAGCGTATACAATACAAATTGTTGAAGATTAAACCAGTGGTTCCAAATCTGTTTGATTTTACAAAAAACATCGGAGTAGTTGTATCTCCTTGTCACATTTCAGATGCCTATTAATTATCTCTCCTCTAAACTTCTCATTTGGTTTCATTCTGATAACTCTTCAAATGTTCAGTATGTTACAAATCAAAGATTAGAGAAACGTCCAGAGACTAAAACAGATTGGTGCACCAGAACTTAGTTTCTTCTTCTGTTCTCTCCCATTAATCATCTCATAATCCCTCAGATTTATGTGGTGATCCTTAAGAGGGGCCTGAATCTTATGTTGGGAACCACTGCCTTGACTTTTACTGCTGAGGCTTTAATAAGGCTGATAATACTTGTGTACTTTGACTTAAGAGGGACTTTCATGCTTGAGCTTGCAGTTACAATAAGTGCCCCTGTAGGTGTTACAATATATATATATTTAATTTTAAGCTAATTCATAAACTATCTTATGATGTTGGGAAGCTTAATTTATTACAGTGCATCATATTTTATAAGCTGATCTTGTCTGGATTTTTAAAATCTTAATTTGTAAAGGATGAAATAGAAACAAGCAAGCACCTCACATTTGTACTTCAGCACAGTACTTGAGTAAATGTTAATGTCCACTTTCACTACTGGGAATCTTAAATGTTTAATGTTTATTTTTAGACAAAAAGTTTGCGTTGATAACATTTTTTAGGTATTTTGTTCTGCCCTCTCTTTTTTCAAATGTAGGAGTGACTGTAACCACCTTCGCAATCAGTTCAGTGAATCAAAAGGACATTCAGGGTGAAAAGTGAACACACATTGAGTCAGACTGGCTCCTCTGGATTTTCATGTTAAGTGAAATATTTTTTTTGATGTGGTTTCTGACACTGAAGTATCAGTGAGATGTCCTACTTTACCTCACCTTTGAGATCAGGACAGGCTGTGTATTTTACATTTTCAGACTAAAATGTGAGCTGAGCTTTTACTTTTAGTCTGATATTAAAATGAAAACCAGTTTGTGCCTCTGCTCTTTAGTGATATAGTATTATAGTAGACTGTCTCAACAGGAAAAAAGAAAACAGTAAATACATTAACAGACATTCTGATACATATGTTTTAACTCAGAAATTACACAGAAACACATCACTCAATCTATTCTTTTTATATTTCCGTTCATTATAAACACAGATCATTAACACCTGTACTCTACTGATACAATATTTAACAGCACTCACCTGTAACTGTAACCAGGAGCAGGACACCACAAACTAACAGCTTCGTCTCCATGATGTGGATCTTCTGTGTACAGTAATCACTGCAGGATTTGAAAAGGCTAGAACAGGAAGGTGTGTGTGTGCACTGCCCTCCTGTCAGGTGCATTGTGCTGCTGTCCCACTGTCATATCCTAGGCAACACCTTACATACCACACCCTCCCTTCTTTATAAGCATTACCAAACACAGCAGGCAGCAGCAGAACCTTACATATTTTGGGGCCCCAGGCGCTGGCTTGTTGCTAAAGTACCTGCTTTGAACCTGCCCCAGTCATAAACCACTTAAACTTTGAAAGCCTGAAGTGTGCTGGCTAGGGCTATCATTACCTTCTTTGACCTGTGACACCCGTCGCGGGCGTCTGAGTGTCTGTATCAAAACAAGACTAATACTGTTTGTTTCTGGTAATAAAGGTAGAAGAACCAAAAGTAAAAGTACTCATTATGCATTATAGCCCAATTCAGAACAATATCTTATACTCTCTAATACTCTGACATCTCTCCACTTTGTGCATATATAGGTCCTGTTTGTGCATATGTGTGGCTTTCGGACTTGTGTGTTAATGACAAAAGAGTGAAAAAATTTAATTTCCCCTCAGGGGGATTAATAAATTATAAAAAATTAAAATTAAAAATTTTAAAAATTAAAAATTAAAGTAAAAAAATAAATAAAATTAAATTTTAACATTTACAAAAATTAGATTAAATTAAAAATATGTATCCCAGTCAAGTACTGTAGATCCTCACCAATACAGTGCTGAAGCTTCTTAGCCCATACATGTATAATGGAAAATTAGGAACAAATAATTCAATTTGATCCATTCAAACAATGGTTTTGGATATTTTGGTGATTTGTGTATACATTTATTTGATTGTGCTTACTAATTTGTTACATGTCTTTCTGCTCTACCTATCCAGGCTATATCTGCGCAGTCTGTCTCATTTTATTTGTAGGTTTTTTTAATTTATTGTGGGCCTATTTTATAGTTTATTTAATTTAAACATAGTCTTTGCTCTACCAGTTTCTCAGTTTGACCAGAAGCTTGTAGAAACAAATGACACATTGACCTGGGATCTCGTTTACTGTGTTTATGAGAAGACACCATATGAACACACATCGTATAAACTACCTCATAAGTGGAAATTTTCTGAGAGCTCCATGTTCATGAATTCATGTACACGGCTTCCCATGTAGTAAACACAAGCTCACAAAGTGCCGTGGAGAAGAATTTTTTTCTCTTTTATTTGCATACACAAAAAATTATGCACATGCAAAGTGCACCATGCCAAGAAGTTTCCATCTGCCAACACCAGAGGGTTTCTTGAGCTTGAGGCCTAAGTACACACAGTAATGAGCTGGGAACTTTCTGGCTAGCTGTCATGTGCGGTGTCAAAATATCTTTCAGAAATACACCTAGCAGCTGCTACACATACACATTCACTTTCTGCTTTTATCATTTATTTATAATAGGCAAAAACAAAGAAAACAATACCACACTGTGCATCTTGAAGTGCTCTGTAAAGTAAATAAAAATCACAATCAACAAATCTTTACACAAAACTGAAATATTACTATTTATTAAAAGAGAGTTGGAGGGAGGCGGTGTGGTTTTTACGCCAGACTAGCTCACTTGTTGTTAATAGTGGGTTCTTGTCTACAGTAGCCTGGCTGTATTGAGATGTTTTAATAGTGGTTTAATTTCACAACAGCGACAAACACTGCCGAGGCTCAGGGCAAACACTATTGTTACTTGGTTGTCCATGACAGAGGCAGATGACAGGCAGGTCAGGGAGATGTAGATGCTGCTCTGCAGGGTGCTCGATTTGCATGTGGCTGCCACAAGTGAAGCTGAAGAGGAAGGGGCAGGAACTCAACTCAAATGTAGTTGTTAGGTAGACAACCCACTGTTAATAGGAATCGATGCTATGGGCCAAATTTAAAACTGAAATATAAAATTATTAAAAGAAATAAATGTTTAAAAAAATTGCAAAAAGGGCACTTGACTACTGTTTTGAAGCTCCAGGTCTCTAAAACAATGGGAAAAATGATATGTAATTAAAACAAATAAGGTGTATTATGTCTAGGTTAACACCTCCCTTGTACACTTTCATGTTGTCTGCATTAGTTTTTGTTTTGTGCTTTTCTTTCTTAATGTTTGATATTGTTATACATACATAGATTCCCCACAGGCGCACTATTGGGAGAAATGTGTTGTCTGTTATGGGGAGGAACATCTGGAACAGTCTTCCCTCCACAATAAAGGAATGCCCCACATACTCTTCTTTTAAAGGACATCTTACAGTTTTTCACGATTGTTAACACACAAAAATCTAAACCTTGGCACAATTTGCACAACCTTAACTTCACGTACCATTTGCTCGACCCGAATTGTCACTACTTCACACTCCCTTATGACTCCCCTAGACTCTGACTTTCCTTCTTTACGCTCTGACGCCAATTGCACATCACCTTGTTGTCTAAACACTACACACAATGTTCTGTTGTTACACACACTTCTCATGTGACAAATCAGTGGTATCAACCTACAACACACAAGTGTTCAAAACTCAACAAATTCAGGTCAGGTGAAAAATTAGCAATCAGGACTGCAGCATATAAGTGCCTTGAGCCTCCTCCTCTGTGTTTGGTGAAAAATGGAGAACCTTGAAGAGAGCAACCAGAGAAGGAGAAGTCTAAGAGTGAGAGGAGGAGGAGGAGAACAAGGAGGAGAACAAGGAGAAGGAGAAAGAGGACAAGGAGGGGAGGAGAGAGGAGAAGGAGGGCATGGAGGAGGAGAGAGAGAAGGAGGACATGGAGGAGGACAGAGAAGAGGAGGAGGAAGACAGAGAGGAGCAGAAGGAGCAGGAGAACAGAGAGGAGCAGGAGGAGGACAGAGAGGAGCAGGAGGAGGAGGACAGAGAGGAGGAGCAGGAGAACAGAGAGGAGCAGGAGGAGGACAGAGAGGTGCAGGAGGAGGAGGACAGAGAGGAGGAGGAGTAAGAAGAAGGAGAACCATTATATCTAATGAGATTCGAGCCACTGTGATAGACCATGTGCTGAACCATGGTATGAGCATGAGGGAGGCTGGATTGAGGGTCCAGCCCAATCTCAGCCGATTCACAGTTGGTGCCATCATAAGAACATTCAGGATGGAGAACAGGTACTAGTTTATACTTTACTATAAATCTATTTGTCTTGTGTACTGTAAAACAATACAGCATTTGTGTACTATGTATTTGTGTACTGTATACATTGTGTACTGTATATACTGTGTACTGTAATACAATACTGCATTTCAATATAATACAGTGTGCTCACAGTAGTTATATTTTGCAGGACCGAAAGACAACCTCACAGTGGGGGAAAAAGACGTGTTTTCACACCAGAGCAGGAGACCCTAATTGTGAACATGGTTCGTGAAAACAATGCAATTACCCTAAGACAAATTAAACAGAAGATCCTAGCAGATAATGCAGCTTTTAATACGATCCAGAATGTCAGCCTGTCTACACTGGACCGTGTCCTCAAGAGGAATTCATTAGCTATGAAACAGGTCTACAGGGTCCCGTTCGAAAGAAACACAGACCATGTGAAGGAGCTACGGCGCGACTTTGTGCTTGTAAGTCCCATACATTACAGTAAGCACTGACATACAGGTAATGTAGCCTACCTGTGATGTACAGCAATATATTTTGTTTTCCTTTTCTACAGTGTCTTTTGACCTCTCTGTCCATACAGTAACTTGCATTCTCTCTGTTTTTGTTTCAGCGAATCCAGGAGCTTGATACGGCGAATGAACTATATGAATATATTTTCATAGATGAGGCTGGGTTTAATCTGGCCAAGAGAAGGCGCAGGGGAAGAAATATCATAGGCCAGCGGGCCATTGTTGGGGTCCCCGGCCAGCGTGGTGGGAACATAACCATGTGTGCAGCAATAAATCACCATGGTGTCCTGCACCGCCATGTACATCTTGGTGCCTATAACACAGACTTGCTGCTGGCCTTCCTTGATGACCTCCACGAACAACTTGTTCCACCAGATCACACTGATGATCCACAAAGAATTAATTATGTTGTCATCTGGGACAATGTGAGTTTCCACCGGGCTCTGCTTGTACGTCAGTGGTTCCAGGCCCACCCACATTTTACGGTGTTATTCCTCCCGCCGTACTCTCCATTCCTCAACCCCATAGAGGAGTTCTTCTCTGCTTGGAGGTGGAAGGTGTATGAGCGAAACCCCCAGACCCAGGTCCCACTCGTCCAGGCCATGGAAGAAGCCTGTGGTGACGTCAGCCTCGAGTCCATTCAGGGATTCATGCGCCACTCAAGGCGGTTCTTCCAGAGATGTCTAGATAGGGAGAACATCGCCTGTGATGTGGACGAGGCCCTCTGGCCTGACAGAAACCGAAGGCATGATGATGCTTGATCATGATGATTCCTCAATCATGTACAATAAAAAGACATTTTTGGCTGCATATTTGTGTGCTGTTTTACAGTAAGTTTGTTTTATGAAAAAAGTAGGCTACACTGAGTCATTTTTACAAAAGGAGAAATATCTTATTTTCCAGAGTCATTGTCATTCATATGGTGTGTTCCATTTTACAATAGTGTTTTCAATTTTGCACTACAATGTGCTGTAAATGCTTGGTAGTGTGCAGCAAAAGCTTAGTTGTGTGTGCTCAATGAATGGTATGTGTCATTGGAAAATACGACTGTGTGTAGCAAATGAAAACATGAGTTCCATTTTGTGAACACAATATAGAGATTTGATGGCAAGAGTCTTCTTGCAAAGGGAGTGTCAAGTTTAGCATTTTGTGTGTGCAGTTTTCAGTTTTGTGTGTGCAGTATTGAGAAAGCCGTTATTGTATTGAGAAACGTGTGTTGACAATCGAGAAAAACTGAAAACAATGGCTCAAATCAAATCAAAAGTGAAACCATTAACTGGACTTGGTGAAGAATTCACGCCCAGTGCCTCGTCACACCACTGGCATTTGTAGTGCAGCATGAATATGTGGTGCTCCTATTGCAAAGCATTAAAAAATATGCTGGCCTCAGAAAAGTCTGCCTGAATATACCTGTAATCACCCTTTGTCCAAAACACAACACAACAATTTTCTCTCTGAAAGATCGTT